AAAAAACCAGGTTGGTAGCAGCAACGAGGTGAACTGATAAGAGATATCAGCAGCAGGCAAACAAGCAGTCAAAAAACACAGAGCTCAAAAATCCATATATTCAGAAATTCTCAGGATCAAAGCTTAAGTTGAGTTTGGCTGTTAGGAGAAATACCCAAGTCGAGTTAATCATCCAGCGAAGTGAAGGCGTCTCTCAGGAGCTTAAATATCCCTGGCCAGCTAATCAGCAGATTACCTGCAGCCTCCCCACTTCCAGGCACGCCCACCTGCAGAGGAGAGGTGAGACTCAACACTAATTAGTGTGTGAAAAAACCCCAGACCGCGACAATCATAATGACAGCTCGACATCATGTTTCTTTATTACCACCAAATACCAAAGAACAGACACAAATCACCATGACAACGGATTCTTATTGTTGGCATATTGGTAAGTTTGAAAGGTTTTTCAGTGCGACTAAAATGGATACATTTCATAATTGTTTTATTTATTTATTTATTTATTAAGTCAATTTTAGTTTATTTCACTTTCGTCATTTTAAATACATGCATCATCTTGAAGCTCTGAGTAGTCTGATACCTGTAGAGCTTCCTCTTTCTATGAACTCATTCATCACAAAGGAAGTCTTTCCTCACTCTGTGTGTGTATCAATAGACTGAATACACACAGGGCCACATGTTCCACCCCCCCCTCTTTAACCACAGTCATTTGTGCCATTGTCAAAAGTGATAAATGGGTTATGTGGCATCGATAAGAGAGAGCAGTGAATTTTTATAATGCATTAAACAAGAGCGAGGGGGCAAGCAGACAGGTGGGCTAAGAGGGACGGAGGATAGCAGCGGAACTGGAAAAGTGGGCTATCATGCTGCAGCAGTGTGCTGTTGGCAGGGGACCTCTGTCACACACAGTTTGAGCTGCTGCTTCACATCTTCACTGGTGCTTCATCTCGATTTTTCTCTGATATCCAGCCATCAGCCCCCCTCGAGCTCACAGCTGTCCAGCAAGGCAGCAGAGCTGGCAGTCACAATATTCAGTGACTGCTGTTACATGGATCGTATGGCACTTCATTGGAAAGACAAGGGGTGTGTGTGTGTGTGTGTGTGTGTGTGTGTGTGTGTGTGTGTGTGTGTGTGTGTGTGTGTGTGTGTGTGTGTGTGTGTGTGTGTGTGTGTGTGTGTGTGTGTGTGTGTGTGTGTGTGTGTGTGTGTGTGTGTGTGTGTGTGTGTGTGTGTGTGTGTGTGTGTGTGGTTTCTCTTTGTTTCCTTATAAATGCCCACTGGAATAATAAATCTGCTTCCTCTTCCCTGTTTAGAACAGGTTGCAGTTGGATTCAATCCATTCTCTCTAAACATGGTGTCATGGCTAAAATATCATGTTTGTGCCTTGGTTAAATATTCTGTAACACAAGTAACACATCTCAAGGACTTCGTTTTGCTGTGTTGCAATGAAATACCCCCCACTTGACTGGTTCTGGTCTTACCTGTCAGACAGGCATCTTAATCCTGGAGCCACACCTCTTCTCAATTTACTCATCTCAAGGAATGATTTTAGCAAAACTTGAAATGAGCTACCACCTTTATGCAGATGATTGTCAGATATATTTGGCTTTAAATAAACCAGACATCGCTCACCTACTCGTTGACTGCCTCTCTGAAGTCAAAAGCTGGCCTTCAGCTAACTTCCTATGCCTCAACAAAAACAAGACCGATGCTATTCTTTTTAATCCAATAAATCTGAATCATTCACCTGGTGACACCTCTCTCCCCTTTTCTAGATTTTTTTTACCTGAACCAATGATTTTATTTGAGCTCATACACTGCCAGGCCAAAAAAAGTTCACCCCCTGGAACTAACTAAGCATATAGGTCTGAGCCTTTTTGGATAATTACTGCATGGCTGCATTCAGCTGGAAACAAGTCATTTAACCCCAACTGGTGCAATTAGTTGCTTCTCATTTCTTAAACAACCATGTGGAAAGACACATCTGGTGGTCATGGAAAAGATGTAAGTCTGTTTGTAGGCTTTCCTTTTTCCACCTTCGGAATATTGCTAAGATTTGAAGCATCCTTTCCAGGAGTGATGCTGAAAAACTAGTTCATGCATTTATTACATCAAGACTGGATTACTGTAATTCATTACTCTCAGGAAGTCCACAGAATGTAGTTAAAAGTCTTCAGCTTGTCCAAAATGCTGCAGTTCTGATGAGAAGGAAAAAGAGAGATCATATCTCCAGAGGCCCTCCATCATGCTACACTCTCTTGTCTTAGCTTCCCTACATTGGCTACCTGTTGAATTCAGAATAGATTTTAAGATCCTTCTTCTCACATGTAAAGCTCTTAATAATGAAGCTCCATCATACATCAGTGACCTGATTGTTCCATATGTTCCTAACCGAGCACTTCGCTCGCAGAACTTTATTGGAATGTTTACTGTGTGAAGTGCCTTGAGATGACTTGTCGTGATTTGGTGCTATATAAATAAAATAGACTTGAATTCAATTTGAGAAGAGTCGCAATGTTTCCCATATAAAATTTTGTGTGGGGAGGGGGTAACCGTTTCACTGCCGTGCGTCGGCCATGAGAGGGTGGAATGCACGCTCTGGTTATGACAGGGAGGAAGGGTGTAATAGCTCGAGCAGCGCCACACCTGAGCGTATGTAGGAGAAGCACTGGGTCAGATCGTTGGCATGCATCAAGCAGATTGTAGAAACGACTTAAACTGGTTTGTTGAGAAGCAACATGTCTTCTTTAAACCAAAGAGTGTTCATTCAGGAATGTAATCTGTTATGTAACATGAATTTGTTTGTTACCCTCAGGAGGTGTCCTCTGTGGCAGCCATTTTGAAGCAGCTAAAGAGGAAGCCCGCCTCTAATGCTGCCTTTATGTAGGAAATGCCTGAGTGGACTGGAGGGGGGGGGGGGGGGGTTGGAGAGTATATAGATGGACTGCTGGGTGTGGCAAAGGGTCATTTTTCCTCTCTGAAAGTGACAGAGACTGCTAAGAGAGTTGGATGGGTGGCCATATTGAATAGTGCTGGGATTTTCTGATTTTGTTTTTTTCGGACCAGAGGAAATAAAACTGGTTTTCCTTGTCTATCGACCAAGTCATCATGTTTCTTTTGTCCTCACTACACTTCACTGTGTAACATGGTTTAAGAATGTCCAATGCATTATTAAAAGCTGGTCTGAGAAGCTTATCGAAACAACGCCACAGTGAATGTGTGCAGTAATCAAAGCTAAAGGCAGTCCAACAAAATATTATTGTGTGACTTTTTTTGACCAGGCAGTGTATGTGCAGTACAAGTTCCATTATAGAGTTTGTCATTTGTTTTTGTACACTTTAGTGGCAATAAAGAACTAACAAACCAGGTGAAGACCAGCATGTTTTCCTTATATTGTGATACATAAAACCCTAGAAAAGAAAAAGGATGGACTTTCATTTAGCTGTGATTGCACATCTTGTCATCTTTTTTCTCAAAGAAACTCGCAGCATGTTCCAGGAGATTGATTTAGTTACATTATGTCCTGTCAGAAGATGTGAAACTACACACACAGGCATGTGTTTAGTCATGTATGATCCAATTACACTCTTATGGGGGATGTCAGTAGGAACACGGATGGGTTGAAGGACACTTAGTAAAGGGTGCTTTTGCCCTCTGCATATCAGTGTATACTTTTTAATGTGAATGGACACCATTACATTGTACACGTTTTTGTTCTAACATTCAGAAATTAATGTACAGGCATTTGTGTCCTGTTTAAAGATTGCATAGCATAAAGTAGTTTAGGATAGTGATGGGAATTCCGTCTCTTTTTAGAGAGCCGGTTCTTTTGGCTCCCAAGTGGCTCCTCAGATTTTCTGTTGCGTAGTGCACATTTATAACCAAAATAATGCTAAACTATATGTAAAATAATTTACTAATGTAAAAAAATATATATATCAAATATTTATCATTTCTATGGATTTAATAACTGAACACTTTAAGAAATCTCAACTTTCCGACTGCTGGCGCTCATTTTCTCACCGTCTTCGTCGCACTCTCCTCTCTCGCTCGCCTTTTTCCTCCTCCTCATTCCCTCTCGTCTCCCTCCTCCCACATGTGCTCTGCTGTGTGTTTGAGTCTGATCCTCCCTCTTCCCCGCCCCTACTGCTCTGTGTGTGGACAGTCTGGACACACAGTTACACTTGTAACATGAAAGCCTGTAGCTTTCACCAAGGCAGGGGGGGAGGGGACGGCTCCCGTCGTTCACTTCAAAGAGCCGGCTCTTAGAGCCGGTTCGTTCGCGACCGACACATCACTAGTTTAGGTTGTTGTTGTTTTAACTTTTTCCTAAAGTCATGGTGTTGTCGGGGTCTGGTGGCACTGAGATGATGTTTGTGAAGCATAGCACACAGGATTTATCTGCCGTTATAGTGGATGGGTGAGTTTCCATTAATCACAAAGCATCACCTTTTGTTAGCCTCTTAGAGGTAAAGGGACTTATGTTTCAAGTCTTTTTATGCACGTTGTTTCCCAAACATGTAAAACTCTGCAGATCACATTGGGCCAGACAGGAAGACCTCGAACACAAAAGCAGCATAAAACATCTGCAAACTTTCAAAATAAAAGTTGCATGCAGCTTCCCAGTTGCTTAACTAGTAAAAGAAATGGACGTTATTACCTGTGAAACCTTTATAGCTAAAGTAAACAGAACGGAAAATAAACCACATACCTTTCTGGATACATGCTGCCATCTTTCTTCTTACTTGTTATTACGTGAACTGCCAAAATGACGAGGAGTCTTGCAATCCTCCTGTGATTTGGTGACCTCATGGGACCAGCTGCATGAAATGGTTTCACTGTTGTTTCACATCTGAAGGGCTCCTGATGGTAAGGGAACTCCGGGTAAAAATGTGTCGACTACGTTACACTCCTCTTACTCATCCAGTAGAAAGTCTGGGTTAGATTTAGAGCTATTGGCTTTTTTACTGCTGTGTTTCTAATGTCTTTCATTTCTCTTCTAGAGCGGAAGAAGATAACTCTGACTGTAGGAAACCAACTGTCCTACAAGAAGATTTACAATGTTGTGGGCTACCTGAAGGGAAAGAAGAACCCAGGTGTGTTTGTTCAAAGCAGACTTTTCTTGGTTCAGATCTGGAAAAACAACAGAAATCCCAGATAAGGTTAAACCTGTGATGCAGCATGTTGGGACAGATGTGTATTGCCTTATATGTGTTGTTTATAGAATCCATTTCACACATTTTCTCCTGAAATTAGCAACATTAAATCATTCCTTTATTATAAAATTTGTGAAATGTCTGTGAGCTGAACCCAGGAAACTAAAAGGGATTGTAAAACTTAACTTTCCATTTAAATGTAAATAAAATTGTAAAATAAAGGGAGAGAAAAACAAAACTCACTTGTTTCTGTTAAGCAGAAAAAGAACATTTCCAACAAATGTCTTTCAGTCAGTACAGCATTATAAACGGTTGTGTTTTTAATTTTGTTTCATTCTGTGCCATCACACCATCCCTAATAATAGCAGGGTTCAAGTTTCTCCTTTGGGATGTATTAAATGAGAGACCAAGGTCTAAAACTGCTGAGACACTTTTGGTCATGTTTGTAGCACAGGTAACAATCAAAAAATCACAATATCCTTTTAATTTGCAGTTACATTTTGATAACTGATTTGTGCACATTTCATATGTTTTAATGAGTGTACGTTAGATCATTTGGAATTATAGATTTTTCCTATATGACAAGAGCAAATTTGAATAGATTTGTCTTTAATTTACGCATTTTCAAAAACAGAATTTATTTTTGTATTTTGAATAAAAAAATTGTTCCGCCATTTTGTAAAATCTCTTCTCAGCTGCTGCAACGCCCGAGGGGAAATTCAGGCTGTTGCTGCCCTCATTCTTCTTTAACTGTCTTTCATCGCGCCCTTGTCTCTCCTCTACAGCCCTGTCTTTATACACCTCCTTCCCCACTATAATACAGAAGTGATGCTACTGTACCTGTCCTGCCCACTCACCAGTGGAAAATTACCTGGCTGATTTACAGTGTGATATTAAGCAGACATAATGGATCACTAAAACAGATAATATGGGCCACAAATCTTACAAAGTAGCAACACTTTAACTGGCTTTTGGCATTTGATCATGTACATGTTCTACACTCAAACCTACAGAATGAATATTCGTGCATGCTTGCAACAGGCATATTCAGATTCATTTGCCCTGTGTAATTTATTTATTTCTGTAGATAGATAAGCAAAAGAATAAATCTAGAAATACTGCTTGCTCATGCACATGGAAGCACTAACTCACGCAGTCTGGTTGAGGTGAACTGGACCTTATCCTAGCAGTAAACAGGCAAGAGATGGGTTCCTGGTTCATCACAGAGCCAATACAAAGATTCACAAGCAAGACAAAACAAAGTCTCTCTCTCTCTCTCTCTCTCTCTCTCTCTCTCTCTCTCTCTCTCTCTCTCTCTCTCTCTCTCTCTCTCTCTCTCTCTCTCTCTCTCTCTCTCTCTCTCTCTCTCTCTCTCTCTCTCTCTCTCTCTCTCTCTCTCTCTCTCTCTCTCTCTCTCTCTCTCTCTCTCTCTCTCTCTCTCACACACACACAAACACACACATACACACACACAGACACATGGATGTAGTTTTGACTTTAGAAGTGGGGGGACACCACTGGCATGAGGACTGGCGGGGGTTGGGGATCATTACAGCAAGTATACAAATATACATATAAAACTCCAGTCTAGAGGCTCTTTTATGCAATGCCAGGGATACAGAACTGTCAAGTACACAGGTGCAGCAGTAACCAATCACACGTTAGCAAGTATCAGCAAAGCCAATAGATGAGCTTATGGACAGCTCTAATGGGAAATGGGCTTCAACACTCCACTATGCCTAATCCAAACCCTAAGCCCAACCATAACCACTGGGGTTCCATTCCTAACCCTAACCTAAACTAAAAGCTGATTAACGCCATTCTTCCAAAACCAAGTGTTAGGGTACTTAGCAGCAAAATGTCCCCACAGAGCAGAAATGTCCATAGAGTACAGGTCACAGTCAAAGTGTGTCCACTTAAACATAGGAAGAAAAGTGTACACACACACACACACACAACCCTATGGTCAAGTCTGATTGTCTTCTGAGATGAGTTGAGATAAGATTTGTTATTTTATGTAAAAAGAAAAACATCACAATGCTGCGGGGGGATTTAGCGACTTGATGCCGGGGGGAATTCAGCTGTAGAATATTTAGGTTTCGTAATAAAATGTAAATATTTTCTTCCAGATGGATGTAAGTTCAACAGCTTATAGGCAGTATGAGAGGAATGTTTTGCTTTTTTCATGTTTGTTTCCATGTAAGTTAGCTCTTAGGGGGAGGAGACTAGTTTCTTTGGGTCTTCATTTACTCTAGTTGCCATATCAGGAAGTGATGCAACCGGTAAGAATACTGATTTTATTGCAGCACTTAGTTTTTGAAATAGATGAGCAGAATAATTTTTGAGAACATTTAGGAATAAGTTTAGGCAAAAAGTTGCAGAATACAAACTGTCATGGCACAGACTTCTGCAAATAAACTTTAATCTAATATTTTGGCTTTTAATGTGTGATGCTTTTTTTTCTAAAGTCTTTCCCATTTTGGTGGAATTAAAACAATTTAATTATCAAATGTATAAAACATAAAACAAATGCTATTGGAACCAAAGTCAAGATTAGATGCTATATTATGTTTTGTTACTGTTGTAATTTGGCTACTTAAAATTTAAAAGACACAATCCCCGGTTCACTCTTTGCCCTAATCTCACCCATGGACGTAATTTTCACTTAAGAAGTGGGGTGGGGGGGGGGGGATCTTTACAGTATGCTCTAATGGGAAACAGGCTTCAACACAAATGGTTGTTTTCTGCTTGGTCCTAGAGCTCAACTAGTGTCAATTTAATATAGCGTAATATTGTTTTTGGATGGTAAAAAGTACAGGGGTCAAACCTTGACTTTGGAAAAAGTGGGGGGGGGGACATGTCCCCCCTGTCCCCCCAAAAAATTACGTCCATGATCTCACCCTTTGACAGCTTTTCACAGTAAACATCTCTCTTTCTGGGTATTCTGCTGCTGGGTGAAGTGTCTCCCAGGTTCCCAGAATGCATTTTGCTGAGCAATGTACAATGGCAATCAAAATACTGCCCCTTATTCGTTCTTGATATCTAACACCAACGCTTCATTGCGTAACTAGTTTTGTTCATGTTGTTAAACACACAGCAACGTATCAAAAGAACAACAGAGAGATGCTTGGTTGAGTACGATCTCTACATGAACTGACTCTCCGAGGCTGTGTTCATCTAAATTAGCAGCAGCTAGCCTAATTTTGACATTGCTATTTAAATGGAGTTGGCAGCTCTGTGACATCATTATACTCCTGTACTAATATTGGTCAGCTTTGAGCAGCTTTTGAAACCTTTATAATCAGTTCACACCCAAAACTGCAATTGACTCCACATCCATCATCAGTGGAGGACGACACAGCTAGAAAACATGAATGATTTTACATTTTGAACAGATGCTGTGGTGAGCCTGTCCCCGTCTCCCCACTGGTGGCCATTTTACTGACATAATTAATGTAGTTGTGTGGGCATAGATGTTAAGCATAGCAATGATGGTGGCAACAGGTGTGCATCATTAGGTGTTCAAATAAAATCCTCCTTGCTTTACACTCTGCTGTGTGAACGAGTAAGAATGTTTTACTTGGTTTTTGCAGCTTTTTGCTTGTTGGAATTAAGAAACGTGATAACCACCAGCTATGCAGCAAATTACCCAGTTTGGTGTTTTGAAATACTGTCATTTTGTTTTGCTGGAACCTTTACTTGATTTTCATGAAGGAGTTTGGATCTGGTAAAAACTACATTTCATTCCAGTTGAAATTGACGGTTCTAACTCATTCTCAGATGAGAAGCAAAACGCCTTTAAGGATGTGAAAAAAATGCCGTGATCACTATGACCTGCATGACTGAGAACATTCAACAATAATAGGTGGAGAGCATCTTATTACTCAGGAGAAATTTTAAAATTAACATCACATCATGATATGTTCACATTTGGCAGCGGCTGATCAAATTAATTGATTAATGAAAACATTGTTCCCATGTCAAGTTGCTCTGATGCAGTTCGACATGTAAACCCGATTTTATTTAGTTTGTTTACTCCTGTAATAATTTCCATTTGATGAGATCATTTTTATAATAAGACATTTGATTTATAAGTACTCTCCAAGACTCTCGAATAGAAAAGCCTCTCATCTTATTTAGCTGCTTGAGGGTTGGGGTGATGTGTTGGGCATGTGGGGTTCTGTAGATGACGCGGGCCAGCGGGAGTTAGTAGAGGGATTTGTGTGGTAAACCAAACAGCAGCACATGATGGTAACAGATGAGAGGTAACCAAGGCAGTGACTTCATCTGACCGTGTTGTAGAAGTAAAAGGACAGAGAAGGTTGATGTAACAGAGGTGGAGGAGGGCAAACCAGGTGGTGGTGTTCAGGCATGCTAAAGCTTGGTTTATGCTTGACGCATTCACTTTCCGCGTGGTGATGCGGCTCGCGGATGGAACGCGCTTCACAACTCGCAGCGTTTATGGTTCATGCGGCTCGTCTCTGCGGTGAGCCAATATTCTCCCAAACTGTAGGGGGCAGCATGGAGCTCTACTGCATGAATCCAACACTACACCATAGTAGAAGTAGAAATTACTGTTTACAACATGGCATTCCAGCATTTTTAAACAGCGTCCTCGTCTTTTCCGACAGTGCGAGCTATTTCTCTCCAAGAATTATTAACAACATGTTGATCCCGGTGATCTCTGAGAGCTGAATCATACAAATGTCTGTATTTACGAACCTCTGCCATACTAGTTCTTGCCGGTCCGCCATGTTTTTCTTTTTCCACGTCGGTCCGTCCGCGTGATTAGAAATTTTCCGAGGTGCGCGTTGCGGAAATCTTGGGCCGTGCGGAGACGCGGTGGAGGGGCGTGGTTGTTAAAATGATGCAAAATGACGCAACTTTTCCGCGCGGAGCCGTGCGGACGCGTCAAGCATAAACCAACCTTAAGGAGGAGGCTGCTGTTGAGGATGACGGACTCGACCTGTGGGGAGGAGGCGACAGTGAAGTTAACAGGCAAATGGTCTGTTTTTAGCACCTTCTAGGGTTCCAAGGCCCAAGGCACTTTACAACACATCCCGTATTTCATTCACACACTGGTGGTGATGAGCTACATTGTAGCCACAGCTGGCCTGGAGCACACTGACAGAAGAGCACAGCTTCCACTGGTCCCTCTGACCAACACCCGCAGGTACGGCTGGTTAAATGTCTTGCCCAAGGCCGCAACAATAAAGACAGGCTTACCAGGGATCAAACCTGCAACTCCTCTGCCACTGTCACCCAAAAGAAAGAAGGATGTCCAGATGTGCAATAAAAACAATTTCTGTTTTAGTTGCATTAGATTTGACAAGGTTATGAGAAAGCCACATTCTTGTACTGCAGTATACAGATCAGTCTCAGGGTGCTACTACTGCAATTTTCATGCACATTTCAAAGATCCTGGTTCTGACTTTGAGAGCACTCTGCATGGCCATACACCAGATTACATCAGTGACCTTTTTGATCCTTACACCATGATGTCCCTGAGGTCCTCTGACTAAGGCCCCGTGAGACTGAAAACCAAAGGAGACAGAGCCTTTTCTTCTGCGGCTCCAAGGCCCTGGAACTCTCTTCCTCTGAAATTTGAGATTAGTGAACCTTTTTGCTTTCTTTAAATATCAGCTCAGGGGTTGTCTCTTTAAATCTGCTTATGTTTAATGTGCACATTGTGATTTGGATCTTCAAAGGAACCATTTTAAAAAGATTTTCCTTTCATACTAGCACAGCAGGCCACTGAAACAGATAGCATGGTCAGACAAAAAACAGAGGATGAAAAACTAACTGTTGTACTTGTTTTAAGGTTTTTATGAAAATAATTTCGTATTACTCTGTTAATTGTTTTCAGATCGCTATGTTTTGGTAGGCAGCCATCATGACAGCGACCAGGGAGGCGGGACTTCTGCCATCATGAATCAACTCATTGAAGCATTAACGGACCAGACCAAACGAGGATGGGTGCCAGACAGGACCACTGTGTTTTGCTCTTGGGGAGGCTCAGTTCTGGGGAACATCGGGTCGTACGAGTGGGGGAAGGTCAGCAAGCACAAGAACACAAGCGATACCTTTAAAGGCTTTTGGAGAAGACACATAGAACTAAGAAGGCAGAATTTGATCCATTAGGTTTTGTCTGTGATAATCTAACAGTATATATTCTTATTTACCAACATTTGCTAAAGATAATTAGTTCAGACTTATAATTTACATTTTAAGTGCACAACCTGGTCTACCTCTCACATATCATGTATGTGTAGCGCTGCCTTTAGAAGAGGCACAGGTAGTGGACAGTTCGTTCAAACACTGGTACAAGCAGATGGGGAAGCTCCGCCTCTAACAATTGCTGAGTTTTAAACATCAGGATACATAAAAATGTTATCTGGTCCTCACCAGGTTCTAAAATGACTCAAATATAACCTCTAGTGTACAAAAACAATTACAAAGTCAAACAAGAAGCCACAATAGAAAAGTTGTTAAATTTTAAGTCCACCGTTGCTGCTTCCAAATGTTTGCATTATAAAGTGCCTTGAGATGACTTGTATTTTGAACTGGCGCTATATAAATAAACTGAACTGAACTGATTTAGGATGGAAAACAGCAGCCAGATGCTGCTGATCAAAAGCCTCTGCTTTTCTAGAAGAGCTCACGCCTCAGGAAAACAAAAGTTGTATCTATGTTTTGATCCAGAGCATACGACTGGTGTAAACACGTTGTCCAGAAAAACACAGCATTTACCTGGAGTGCATCGCTCTAAGTGCAGTGTTGATTTTGACAACTAATTTTAATTGAGTTTTAGACTTTTGACTAAGATTCTTGTTCATTTTAGTCACAATTTAGTTATCCAATTTGTTTTAGTTTTAGTTTGGTAGTGGGTCACTTTGCCCTGCGTCGGGCGAGTTGCCTGCTCATCGTTATCTTGGTAACAACGGGGCCATCTCCTGGGTCCAGGAATGTTTGTTCCCCGTGTGCAGTAGTACCGGGACCAGAGTGTGTAGGGAGGGGTATTCAATTCTGGGCCTGGAGGGCCGGTATCCAGCTCGTTTTAGTGGTTTCTCTGCTCCAACACGCTAGATTTAGTGGATGAATCACCTGTGCAGCAGGTCATCAGGCTCTGCAGAAGCCTGTTAATCACCTGCTGATTGAAATCGGGTGTGTTGAAGCAGGGTTGAAACCAAAACATGCTGGATACCGGCCCTCCAGGCCCAGAATTGAATGACCCTGGTGTAGGGTGTGTATGAGGAGTGTGTGAGGGTGGATGAAGGAATGCAGACAGATGCTGTGAAAACCCGACCCGGCTTTTCTGATTCTGACATGCAGTCTTGTGTGTCTTTGGTTTGGGTGTGTTTATGTGTACGCATGTGGGTGAGGTTGTGTGACTGTGTTTGTGTGTCACTATCTGTCAGGTAGGGTCCTGAAGTTAAGTGCTCATATGTGTCCTTGGGCAAGACACTTACCCCACCTTGCCTGCTGGTGGTGGTTGGAAGGACTGGTGGCGCCAGTATTCTGTCAACGCTCCCCAGGGCAACTGTGGCTACCAAGTAGCTTATCACCACCAGGGTGTGAATGCATGTATGACTGATTGTGTTATAAAGTGCCTTGGGGGTCCCAGGACTCTAGAAGGTGCTATATCAAATGCAGGCCATTTTACCATTTAGAAAGCCCCAATAAGTGAAACAATGCTGAACGAGGCAGCAACTGACCTGAGAGATTAGATCACAGCTCAAATTAACACCAATCGACCCCAACGCCAACAACGTCTGAGTGAAGTGCCATCAGATAACCTCGAAGATGTGAATGCAGCATTGGGAACAATTCCTACAAACTCTATCACTGGAGCCCAACAGCTCCAGATTACAAGTCAAAAGCCATTTCAAAGTCCAGAGCTCAGTCTGATACTCAAATACCCACAAACCTCAACAAACATAACACAGGCAAATATGTTGTCTGTTTTTCTACTTTTGTGGTTAAATTAGATATTTTTTACCTGGTAAAGACCAGATGTAATCCCTTATGTCCTGATGAATAAAACCTTAGATGCTAAAGTAAATGGTAAATGGTAAATGGCCTGTATTTGACATAGCGCCTTCTAGAGTCCTGGAACCCCCCAAGGCTTTACAACACAATCAGTCATTCACCCATTCACACACTGGTGGGGATGAGCTACAATGTAGCCACAGCTGCCCTGTGGCTCACTGACAGAGGCGAGCCTGCCGAGCACTGGCGCCACCGGTCCCTCCGACCACCACCAACAGGCAACGTGGGTTAAGTGTCTTGCCCAAGGACACAACGACAGCGACAGACTGAGCGGGGCTCGAACCTGCAACCTTCCGATTGCGGGGCGAGCACTTAACTCCTGTGCCACCGTCGCCCCAAAAAAAGTCTGTTTCTTCATGACTGTAGATGCAGAAAGGTGAGGTTTTATTATAACTTAGAAACAGAGCACATGGCTGCCAATCAACACATTACTGTTCTGATCCCAGTTTCCCTCCATGTATGTACTCTCACAGGACTCTTGTGAAAAACATAGAACATCCACTTGAAACCTTGCTGGTTAGATAAAGTCCAAAATAAGTTACTTTATTCTTCGATTAGTCTGGCAAAATGTCTCTAACTGACTCCCAGGGTGACACGTGAAGATGTTACAAAAAGCTCTACTTGCTAGTGAAACAGCCACCTGTTTGTGTGAAGAAAGATAGATATGATAATTGATGCTTCAGTAACAATCGTTTTCCACTTCAAGGAGAGAGATAACTTCAGCTTGTCAATATAAATAGTTCAGGTTCATGGCTGAACAATGAAAGAATCATGTTCACAGTAAAAACATTCATGATTTCTATTAAGACTTTTATTCAGTGAAAAGCACACACAGCAGGAGAAATCTTTGTTGGATGTAGGATTGAGACAAAGCAAACCAAGGCAGCATGCAGGGTTTTCTCGGGTTTGTTTGTTTTGGGTTTTATGTAAGTTTTTAAATTAAACTCTTTTGTTTAATCCAAATAATCTAAAAATGCATTATAGAACAGTTATGGAACAGTTATAGAACAGTGAAGCTGACAAGAATGATCAAAGGCAATGTCTTGCTAAGGTCTAGTGTAACTCGGTGTAAAACCCAGATTACAATAGTAACATCATTACACAATTAGAATGAATAATGAAATTTTAATGGAAATTTACAAAACAGTTAAAACAGGATAAAAGACCAAATAAGATAAATAGAAATCTAAACATTCATACATTCATAGTTTTAAAAAAAAGAAAAAAAAAAAGAAAATACAAACTTGTTGAAAATAGTCAAATAAGAAAGGCTAAAATCGAGTAAATAGAAAGTTCCAGTAAAATTCAGGTAGCAACTGACTAACCAATCACGTGGCTAGCCAGCTATTGCATCAGCCAATAGAATTTAGCACTTTCTGCTGCTCACTACGCAGCTTTCACTTGCCTTCAGACGCGCTGAGACGCTGACGAGGAAGCACTTGCCGTGAAGAGCAAACTAGGATGCACTAGCAGCCGTTACTTGAAAAAAATTACTCCAAGTTCGAGATACAGAGGTCCGAAGACCGTGATTTTGCCGTGAATTACCCTTGGGGAAACCCCGTGCAAACCAAGCTGACTTTTCTTGGTCAGGTTTTTTATTTTGGATTGATTCACCTCGGTGAATTGAAGATTCGTGTTCCAGTTCTGGATGGCGAGCCCCAGCCCAACCGAACCATCAAGCCGGTGATTAACTGGTCTGTCACTCACCTGAACTCGACTTCACCCCAAGATCTGACTGACAAGGATTTCATGAACATTTGTCAAGCTGACTGACTGACTGAACAAACACAGACTGGTGACATTTCATTTTACTATTTTATTTTATTTCATTTTATTTTATTTCACAAAGCGCTTTGTTATATATTAAGTGGGTTATAAATGCTGGTAATAAACCATTGTTATATTTACCTTGCTTGGTCCATGTTGTCACTCCACCACTTGCTCCTTAGAGTCTAGAATCTTTTGATCTGGTCCACTCGGTGTTAAACCACAAAGATTTTCATGTGAACCACCTCTGGTAAAATCTACGTGAGGTTACACTGGGGTGTTTCTCAATGTCAAGGCGCCTTGCCTTGCCAGGCGATATCTTGCGAGGCCAAGCGCCTTGCTTACGAGGACACTGTCCTTCCTTGGTCAAAGAAAATGGTTACATGGAACAGACTTGCATCACGTGACCGCGGCTTCCACGGCGGTCAAGTAACATCATGTGACACGGGAGATAATGTTATATTTTATATGTATTAGTTTCAATATAAATATATTAAGAGACTTACTTTTTAAATTCTGTATATGTTTGTTCAATAAAAAATATAAGTGAGTTACTACCCGCTAGCCACCGAAGCGGCAACTACTAAGCAACTAACCAACAATAGATAACTTCTTTGGATCTAAAAAAAAGCATTTTAAATTAGTTGACTTACTTTTAAACTTGAAAATTGACCCCGAAGTAGCCGCCGGCTTCTGATCCGCCATCCTTTTGAAAATACAGCGGTGTATTGTGGGTAATTTTTGGCCAAGGCTAGGCTACAAGACACCTCCCATGTGTCCTTGCTCAGCTAGCTAAACGGCTAACAAACGGAGAACACATGCCTCGGTAGAACATGAGCATTGGAACCAATTGGAACACGTCTTGGCGGCTCCTGATGATGTATCTCCAAGGCAACCGGGGCGGGGCCAAGACATCTTGGCAAGGTTCCTTGACATTGAGAAATACCCCTGGTTAGTGATAATGTGACCAGCTGACTCCAGCAGCATGAAACAAAGCTAACTTGTAATATGTCTGTGCTTGTCTTCAGGATAACAGCGTCGTCCTACAGAGCAGTGCTGTAGCCTATGTGAGTCTGAATTCTCCAGTTCGGGGGATGGAAACTCTTCGAGCTACAGCTTCTCCGACTCTTCTGCAGCTCACCACCGACATTCAAAAAGTAACTATTCCTCCTTTTCATATAAATCTCACTCAGTTTCGTTTCACTGCCTTGGGTTAGGTTCTGCACTTGTCACCGTAGATGAGAACGTAGATTGAGCCTTACGTTTCAGCTCAGCTCTCTCGTCACTACGACAGACCGGTGCAACCCCCAACACTGTAGTCGCAACAGCAGTCCACACAATTATGCTCTGATTCGTCAACAAGAACCCGAGATCCTTTAACTCCTCCCTAGATCTACTTTTTTATTCGTACATTTACATGGCCAGCATTCATTGTACCAACTATTTTCTGCAGCAGCCCTATACATTAAAATGATAATTTTATTAGGATTCCAGCTGATTTTTGGTTGGAACTAAACTGTTCCAGGTAGGTGAAGTGGTTCAAGTGATGTCAAGTCTCCTTGTTAACCTGGATTATGCACGTGTCACAGTGAGCCATTTGGGGTTAATTGGCACACCGTTTTTCAGGTTTTGTAAAGCCACAGTAGATCTTTTGAAACTCTAATTAAAATCAGACCTGACATAAAGAGTTGTTAAGAAAGAAAATGTGTCACCTAAAACATTCATTGTGATGAGCTTCAGCTACAGCCTGTTTGTGCACAACCTACAAGAATAATACGTCTCTATTTGATCAAAGAAGTTAAAAAAAAAACAACACAAATGTAGTTGCTTTAACTCGTTGACACATATGGTTCCACGTATGACTGGTGTCGTTTTGATATAGTATTTGACAGTCCTTTATCTGACTAATGAAACTAGATGTTCTGCTGACACACTTGTTAACATCGTGTTGACATTTTGATCCACGCCATGCGTATTTTACCTTCGTGTCCTTATTTGACTCCTGCTCGGCGTCTTTGTTTACGTCACTCTTCATATTTCTGCTCCGCTTTTATTCGTGTTCTCATTAGAAGAGGAACCTGACAGCTTAACCATTAAAGAGTGAAATGTCACAACAAGACATAGGAAGAATTTTCTCTTCTCTTTAAAGCATGCCATCTGTTCAGTAAAAGGAGGAGGATGGATCTCTGTGGGATCTAAATAAAGCTAAATTCACTCCTTCCCACTCTTTACATTCACATAGAGGGGCCAGCCCACTGAAAAAGTACTGCAGCTCTCTGATTCTCCTCCTAAATATGTCCTTATTCCAACCTGGGGGTGTTATGCAGATATGATCAGCCCTTGCAGACATGTTCTACCTAACTTTTGAGGTCTCTTTAAACTTGGGGAAACTTCTTCCTTGTAAAAAAAAAACATCTCTACTCATCAACACTCTTCTTTCTCAGCCTCTTCCACCACCCCTTTTTTCCGTTTTGTTTTTTTCTTGTCCCTTAGGCATTACATCCTTCTCCCTTCCCACCTTCTTTTACTCTCCTTCTATCACATCCTAATCTCCTCTTTCATCACCAGCAGGCTCTGCATCTCCACACCCTCTAATTTTCCTCATTAAAATCTCCCACTCTCTCCTCTCCTGTCTCTTTCTTCTCATGTTATGCTTTATATTATTTTTATTTTTACCAAGTTAGTTGTCTGTCTGCAGAGAGGATTAGTCTCGCTGTCATGTAACTAGGCCTGTAGGGGGGTCAAAGTGGACATCTCCAGTGTGATGTCCCTTTACTTCCCTGCTCTGGCATGGAGTAATTATTAGAAAAGGCCCAGTCAGCCTGTCACTTCCAGCTTTAATGAAGCTACTGACAGCTCCCGACAGATAAAGAGAAACTAAGTTCTACTTTTGATGCTCTTCAAGAAATATCTTCATAGAAGAAATTGTCAAATTCTGCTGCTATTCTGTTGTTCTGCATTATTTCTATTATATTATACTTTATTAATATTCAAAAGGAAAATAAAATCTTGCAGTGTCAACAATCGGCTAATTACGTGCGTTCCTTTCGCTCTGTCGTACATGTTTCTATTTTTATTGCGGCAATACATCACTGTGTATTTAGAAACATACTAAAGGTGCTAAAATTAGAATATCATGTCAAAGTTGATTTATTTCAGTAGTTTCATTCAAAAAGTGAACTTTCTGTATTAGTCATTCATTACAGACAGACTGATATCTTTGAAATGTTTGTTTTGTTAATTTTGATGATTATAACTGGCAACTAATGAAAAACCCAATTTCAGTATTTCTTAATATTTGTCATGATATTCTAACTTTGTGACCAGCACCTACATTTACACCTTGAGCTCATACGATAAGACTTATTACATCACTACACATATTCAAAATGATGGTAAAATTGAATTTAATGCATCTTTAATAACAGGACATGCTGATGATGGGTAAAGCTGTGGTCAGTTGCGGCTGAGTTGGGTTACCATTTGCAGCCCAAGCAAATTTCCTCCCTCAGCCTGACACATTTTAATTCATATTCTGTTACCTTGAGTGTAATTGCCCCATAGTCCCTGCCCAATTTCCCATGCATTTGAAGGCTAGCCTTGATCCTGAAAGGCTAAATTCTGCAATATAAATCTGAAAAAGGAGTGCTTCATAAGTTATTAAAATTATGCAAAATGCGTGGTTTTACTCATCAGTGTTTTTTTAATTCAAGGACCGTGTACATTAATGAACATTTCTGTAAATGTGCCAGTAATAGTCAGCAGGCCAATTTTCAACTGTAGTCCATTGGCAAGATGTTATACGAAACACACGATGGCAAAAAATAAGAAAACACAATAAATGAGCATATGTAACAATAAAACTTAAAGCCATCGCACTTACTCCATTAAAACACAAGAATTTAAAAACATGTATGTAGTGTCATGAATGGCCTGATATTTGTGACCCAAAAGTCACACTTTCCCAGCTGGGTCAAGCTGGGTCGAGCTGGAACTTTGTCCTTTTAACCCAGGAGCCGTGATGTCTGCTGAACAACATCTTTATCTGCTGCTGTTCCGTCCCAAGATGAAGGACACTTCAAGATTTCAAAATAATAATTTTTAAATAATAATTTTAATAAACTCTTTGACTTTATTACTGTTTATTACAATCATCATAAATAATCATCTAGGTTCAGTATAAATGTATTTTAATTACTGAAATGACTTATTATGCTTTGGGTAATAATATTTATTATTATTTATGATAATCAGTAATGTGTGTTCAGTAAACCAGAAGGTCATTTGCACGTTAACCACCTCATGCAGAGGGTGTATCCAGGGTAAAGGTTAACCACCTAACATGTCTTTACTCCATAACATCAAGCTTTCTGACACTGAGAGGGCGTGTTCTGAGGTTTTGTTAAAACCAAATCTCTGCAGCTGAAAGTCAGTTCTTGAACCCACCAGAGGACGAGGGACGGCCACCCAAGTCTCTGCTAAGCATTCTGTCACGCCGATAGAATTGCTTCGAATAAACGCACATGTAACCATAAAGTATCAGTACACTAACATGAAAAGTCCGACTTATTGTTAATAATCATTCCATTGATCAACTTTGTTGATTTCTACCTGGATCTTGTACTAATTAAAGAGAATGTTTGCTTTTTATTAACATCTTTGTCCTTAATCTGCCTCTTTTCTTAGATATAATTTGGCCATCGTCCACATAACAACTCTCTCAATGCTATGTTTCATTACTAACAGAGGGGATTGTTCATTTGTAAATAAATAAATGAACAAAGGCCATCGGGGCATTAAAGCTACACTGAAGAAACAGGAGTCCCCAAACTGCCTAACAAAGCCTCCTGTTGGATCCCAGTATATTATTGATACTGCTGACAATTGTTCCACATATTTTAAATGACCCACAGAGTTGAGGTGTGTTTATGTACACACACATCAGCCTGCAAGTGCTCTCTAGAGCAACATGATTACCTTAAATCATCCCCATGATTCTGGGGGAAACAGGAAGAGACACCACAGGAGTCACAGTAAAGGTTAGAGGAAGGAAAAGAGGATTTAAACCCTCAGCTCCACCCATCATCATGGAGGGTATTAGATATGCAGCTAATATGATGGATGGCTGCTTTCATGATAGTTTGGGTGAACCAAGAAGCTTATCTGCGGTGTCTTAAATGAATGATTGTGAAATGCTCATGAATGTCATGTTATGGTGTGTTGAGAAACCCTTTTAAAACCTGTTGGCAGAAGAAATCAGGTTTACATCTGTGTTTCAGTGCATCACCATGATGCCATTTGCACAGAAATACACTATCTATATTCCTATAGCCTCTTTTATTAGACAGACCATTGTGTCATTACAGAGTGATAAATCCAAATTTGTTGGTCTCGTAAATGCGGCAAGGAGCAAAGGGGAAAGGTGATAAAACTCGATTCTGATGCACTTAGCCTCGTAGTAATATTGCCGCATGAGCCCCTCACCTCTGATGGCTAAACGCGTGTCAGCCCCGCTAATCCCTTTGGAGCAACTGTGGGAGGCCCCCTGCAAAAGAGGGTGGTCGCGTTAGTGACGTATACTGAGCGCCGAGTGACGGCCGGAAGGGATATAAACACAGATAAACATGGATGGACGCAGAGACAATAGAGCTTTTGACCGTGGGAGCAGACGAAAAGATTAGTCGCCTTTTTAAGGGGGGGGGGGGGGGGACAGCCAGCTGTTCGACAGAGTGGTGAAAACACTGGCTAAGTGGGGTGTCAAGTGGGACAAAAAGCAGGTCACATCAAAGCTAAAGATCCTGAAAAAGAAATTTCATCAGTCTGACATGTCTTCCGTCTGACGCTGAAAGCGCGACCCTGTACGTCACATGCGGTGGGGGGGGGGGGGGGGGGTCAGCGACCTCCCTTTATCCCGTCCTGGTTTGAAAGGTGCCTGATGGCAGTTTATTCTAGCTTCAGCTTTGCTACTATAAATGCCAAAATCCTCCCCAGGGAGCCGCTGCAAATCCCATTTTGCAAACGCTACGGTCCTGTAAAAGCAGCTTGAGTTTCCTTACCTTAAAAATATTACATAATAGGACATAAAAACGTCTTCATAACAGTTCATAAGTATTGACCTTTATTAATCAGACTCACACTATATGTGCTTTGGTCAAGA